TCTAGATCATTTTTTAGTTATCCATTCCCATTGCCTGCATTACCTTCATTGCCTGCTTAAAAAACACGTGTGAAAACCTTAGTAACTCATATTCACTAGTTGGTAGGTATACCATTTGACATTATACTCAGTGATTGGGTCATAGAGGCATAGTTCTAAAATCGAAGTACCTATTTTAATTCTTACTCCAGTTAATAATTATTTTTAAGACCTCAAGTCAAATAAAATAAAATGAAAATATTGACTAGACTTGTACAAACTACAAACTTCAATATTAAATTATACGTATCAGCTTACAAATTACTACATAAGTAACTGCCAACTGGTAAAGACTTAAGTCAGTGTGTAAAAGTAAGTAAAGTTAATTTGAGGTTTATTTCCTCTCAATTAATTTTACTAAGCGTAGTCTCAGAATGAAAAGGTTCTAACGCAATTTATGTAATTGTTTAGGGGAACGTTTTTAAGTAGGACATTGAATAACTTTTTTCACCATAATTACTAAATCGTGAAAATTGTATGCAATATCAAGAAAGTTCCAAAGAACACAACTTTATCTGCAATTTGTCTTTCATCAATTATTGACTGAGTTAATCATAAAAAACCAAAATATTAGTTTTAGAATTAAATGGTTTTACGTGTAGAACTTTTTCATTCTGAAAATAAAAATTATTTATTTAGTTAGAACTTTTTCATTCTGATTTGAATCATTTTTTCTATGCAGTGATACCAACTTCTAGTGTAAACTATGTTATAAATTATACATTTTTTTATTATGCAATATTTTTAGTTTTTAAGTTAAGTATTATTATATTATAACATACCCGTATATGTAGTGGGCGGGGGGTCCCCCACCCCCGGAATTTTTTTTGTTGTGTATGTGCCTGGACATACCTACTATAAGTAATAAGTTACAATTGTATGGTCCATTGGCGCAATTAGTGTAGGGAAGGGGGTATATTGAAAACGCAACAATATAAATTAAACGGCATAAATCATAATTCACAATAATGAAAAATGTCAAAAACGTAATTCAAATTTAAATGTACCATTTCTTATAATACTAAAGTAGGTACTATATACATGTGGCATGTAGGTATTACCTACCTTATCACCTCAACAAAACAAAAATAGACGGTAAATTTATGCTGGAATGCTGGAAGGAATAATATTTTATTATGGCACAATAATAATTTATATTGTACCAGTGGTATAACCGTATTATAACGGTACCTTTTCATTCTGAGATATTACATTTAAGACCGTTTAGAACCTTTTCATTCTCTGTATCTCATTGAATAATCAACGGATCGATTCGATTTCAAGATTGAATTATACAACAAAAAATTATAAATGATTATATGCAAAAAAACCATTTTTCAAAAAAATTGATTTAGAACCTTTTCATTCTGAGGCGACGTAAGTTCAAACGTTGATACTTACGAATGCTTAGCGTTATAGCAAACATGTCAAAATAATCAGGACTCCAGGTTATATCAGTAACAATTAATTTTTTTTCTTCTTCGTATACCATTGTCCACATTAACATTAAGGTCCCTTCTCCTCTGTCCCTGTATTGATCTGACGGGTCTTCGTAATATCGAAAATCTAGTCATAAATGTAATAAATGGGTATGGAATAAATATTATAATTAATATACAAAGAGGTTTCTAAAAAATAGAATTTTTCTTTTACCTTGTGCTATGGCATCTGTAGCATTTAAGCTGATGATTTTTTCAACAATTTTAGCAACCTTCAACAATTCATATATCATTTCGTCCTGTTCAATGTACATTCTTTTACGGGGTTTAGTTTTCCTCTTGCCCATATGTGCTGCCAGTTTCTCTCTCATTTCTTTTTCTTTCTCTTCCTTTTGTATTGCATAGTCAGCTTCATAAGTGTCATATATATCAGAAAGTGACACAGACGCAGCAAAATCGAACGTTTTAGTTACAGGGGTTTGAGTATCTTTATTCTGAGATTTAAGTATTGTAAATAATATAGCAGACAATTATAGTTATAAAATATATAACATTGTTTAGTCTTACCCTCATAAGAATTTTTTTAGTTTGTGAAACTCTGTCAAAAAAGTTGAACTTGTTTTTAAGTTTCACCACAGTACACAATTTCGTCACTGGCAAGCTTAAAAAGGACTCATCAGATACTTTTTTTATTACCTTTGATTCTATTTCTTCTTCGGGCACATTCTTGAGATCAGTTAATATACTCTCAACTTCACCTTCTTCTCCCATCTCTATGTTTTCATGCATGAACTCTTCGTTAACGTCTTCAACTGACTCTAAATCATCAATATCTAAGTCTAATGCTAACGGGTCAATGTATTCTTCTTCTTCTCCTTCTTCTGTAATATTTTCAACCATTATTTCATCCGTACCTAAGTTTTCCGGTTTTCCTGTAAAATAAAAAAAATAGGAGGTGTTAAAATAAGTAATGTATTATTCATACGTTTTTATTCACTATCTTACTGCATAATTCATTTTCAATTTGTATAATGGCATTCATCGATTCACGATGAAATAATGTAGATTTCAACTCGAAGAGTTTTATACAATTAGTGATTTCTTTCTTTGGTAAAAACGTCCTTTGTCTATTGCTATAAATTACTTTAGCATGTGGTGTGGGTGGTTCTTTAACAAAAAGGCCATTACCGTAAACGTCATCTAATTCCTAAAATAAATAATTAAGTAGGTAAGTACCTATATTATTTTTTTGTAATAGAACTTAATAATTCTGTGAGTCAGTAGAGTAAATATTGTTGGGGGGGGGGGAATTCAACTAACATTTGTTTGACCCCCCTTCTTATACTTTTCAATATACGTAATTCCGTAGAAATATACATATAATAAAAATGAATACAATTTCAAAAAAATGTATAATTTTTTTTTTGTTAAATATTTATAAAAATGTCAAAATTAAAGTTCTTTAAATTTAAAGATAAACAAATTGCAGTGTTAGCGTCGAGTTTCGAATAAAAATGTATGGATAGAAGATCGCCCCCACCGAAATTATTATTAGATATTTGATATTCGAAATTATATTCCATTATATAGACAACACATTTTATTGTAAACATAACTGATAGCTCAACAAACTAACTAATTAATCAAATTATTAGGGGATTTATTCAAACGCAAACATATAGGTCGACAATCAACGAATATTCATACATATGTGTATGATCCAATATATGCCTATATTACTATCGCTATATCTATACTTTTCAATTATTAATATTTCAAATAATATAATTGTATTTAGTACAAAATGTTAAATTTTCAAAAAGAATAAATAATATTTTTAGACAAATAAGAGTAAAAGCAGTCTCGCGCTTGCGGTGTATGATAAAAATAAAACTTTGTTACAACATACTATTTTGACGTATTGATGTTTAATGTGTGTATGTATATATTTTGTAATTTAACCTCTCCTCCCATCACAATTGAAAAATCTGTGTACCCACTGTTATGAGTACCTACCTAATAAATCTGAATATAACAGTTTTAGGAAAATTATTTATCTGGTATTTAGGTACTTTGATACTTAGGTTCTAGATTTTTTACAACCAATTATTATTGCATGAGACATGAATACATGATACAAATAATTGTAATATGATAACCACAAAATATAAAACATTTTTTTTTGTAGGTGCCTATCCAATTTTCTCGAAAAGTACAGTATTATTTTTTTTGAAAAATTATAATCTCTGTATTTTCGTGTTTTACTCAATGTTATTGTTTAATATATCATTAAACTGGTCAAGATCTATAATTTCCTATTAATTAATAGCTAAATAAACATTTAAATGTTTTATTTTACTTCTTGATTTAGAACTAACTGATCGTCTGGTTTAACTGGATCATCAGAAAGTACAACTTTCGCCGTTTCTTTTGCTTTTTTCTTCGAGGTTTTCATTTTATTTTGTAATAAGACTGATGAATATTAATTTACTAAATTAATATTATTATAATAAGCTTTATTAATTAAATAACAAAAATCGAAATACAGTTGTCTTAGTAACTAATTGCATTGGCAGGTACAAAATATACTTCTCACAGTGGTGGCAACTCGAGCTGCAAAACTATACAAGTATACCTACAGCATTATACAAATTACTTAAGCTAGGTACAACTAACAACTCAAATTTAACCAAATACATGAAACGGACTGACTTAAAAAAAAACCTATGTATCTACTAAGTTTAAACTTGCAGCGTAATTAGATAGGTGACTAAACATATTATAAGAAAATCGAAAATACCTATAGGTACTGGACGAAAAATTAATAATAACAATAAAATCGTATAGGTCCAGTTATCTGGTAACGCACACAAAAATACATACTACACATACATTTGTCCGCCGACCGACCACTCATACATTGTGTAGTAAGCTATAACTTTACCAAATTATATGGAATAATCGAGCACTGAAAACAATAAAGTCCCCGTGGTTGAGCCAAGACGAAAATATTTCTGTTGTCGAACATGCCGTAACTGAGGATTGTATCATTAATCACGAACTAATAAGTGGTACGTTGATATTTTAATATTCTTTTTATGCATTAAGTATAAACATATTTACCATTATAGAAAACCAATATGATATCGACATATGGGGTGGTGAAAATTCGGAAGCCAATGACACTATATGTCTTGAAGAATTGGAAAGATTTGTCTGGGGTGAAGAATACACTGACGATGAAAGGTTTTTGCTTGAAACATGTAGTAAAATTGAATCTAGTACTTAGTCGTTTAAAATACGAACACATATTATTATTTTAGGTAATTATATTTGTAAAATAAAAATTCATAATAATAATAACAATAAAGGGACATAATTTATAATTTTTTTTTTTTTTTTATTTAATATAAGGCTTCAAATACAAAGTTTATTACCCTACAATTTGGTTTTTTACATTAATAATTTATAAATACAGTTTAAAAGTTAATGGTTATGATGTGGTGTCGTTGATCCATTGCTTTATATGTTCGTGGTGAGGTCGGCCATCTTGATGAAGTTTGTAATGTTTTTTTCTTGTCCTGGTCCGAGTGCGTCTTTTAGTGAGGTGGTGTTTATGTTCGCTTTTGTTCTGGCGTTTTGGTAAATGGGACATTCTAAGAATATGTGATGAACGGTGAGTTCACTGTAGCATGTTTCGCACATGGGTTTGAGCTCCTTACGCATAAGGTAGGAGTGTGTGATTCTAGTATGTCCAATACGTACTCTGGTAACCATGGTCTCTTCATGTCGTGTAAGCTTGACAGGTGGGTCCGGCCATTTTATAGTTGATGGTTTTATTTGTCTAAATTTATTGTTTTGATTGGTTTGATTTTGCCATTGATTCTGCCTGAGACTATAAAATTTCGATTTGAGGGCTCGGATTGCATCGTCGTATGTTACATGCGGGTATATTTTAGTGTCCGGGGAACTAGCCGCTTTCATCGCCAGTTCGTCGGCGAGTTCATTGCCAGGGATGCCAATGTAAGATGGAACCCACATGAGTTTGATGGATTTGACGGTTGAGTGGATAACGTTTTGAATGCTTTGGGCGAGGTTGCATTTTGTATGTACGTTGGCTATTGAGGTGACTGCACTCATAGAATCACTTATGATGAGAACTTTATCGTGGTTTGAGGAGAGTGCGGTTAATGTAGCTTCGACTATGGCGAAAGTTTCAGCTGTGTATATGCTGGAGAAGGGGTCTAATTTATGGAGACTATTTTCATCCCTGTGGGTAATGGCGAAACCGGTTTCGTATGTTGTTTGGAGGCGTCTGTATGGACGTGGTAGTAATTTTTGAATTCGGTGTTTATTATTTCGTAGAACGTATTGATGATCAGACTATGAGGTGTGTCATATTTGTTGAATTTGATGAGTTCTGTATTGGCTTCAATGTGGTTCGTGTTCCATGGAGGGATTGTTGAGAAAGTTTCTTTAGGTTTTATGTTGCTGATGTTGAAGGATATCTCTTCAAGGATGTCGTGGAGCTTTATATAAAGAGGTTTCAGGAGGTGTTCGTGATAGGGGTTTGAGATTGTCCTTATTATGCCAATTTGGGGAGTAGTCATTTTTTTGGCTGCGAACTTTGTAATTAGGTACTTTTGTCTGATATACAATGGTAGGCAGTGGGCTTCGCACATCATACTGTCGACCGGACTTGATTTGAAAGCTCCGATGGACATCCTGATGCCGGCGTTTTGTACGATGTTGATTGTTTTTAGGGTATTTTGGTTGGTGAGGCTGTAAATGATTGATCCGTAGTCCAATGTCGATTGTATCAAAGAGTTGTATAGAATTAAGAGTGTTTTGCGATCAGCGTCCCATTTAAAGTGGCACACGGATTTGATTATATTTAGTTTTTTGGATGACGTTGCTTTCAGTTTTTTTATGTGTTCTTTCCAGTTGAGTTTGTGATCGAAAGTTAATCCTAGAAGGCGGAGACTTCTTGTGTTAGGGAGAGTGTTTCCTTGCATTTTTATATCGGGAATTTGGATTTTCTTCTGTCGATTGAATAAAATGGATTGGCATTTTGAGGGGGAAAAAATGAATCCTGTCTCTGTGGACCATCGGCTGATGTTGTCGATTGATTTTTGTATGAGAGAGCTGGTAGTTTTGATGTTTGATCCTGAGAGATACAGGCTACAGTCATTGGCGTATAATATAGTTTTCACAGGAGGTTTTATGTATTTGTTAATATCGTTGATGGCTATTAAAAAAAGGGTTACACTTATTGAGGCAATCCATTTTCTGTTCTGAATGTTGATGATAGGGTATGTCTGAATTTAACCTCGAAGGTTCTGTCTGCTAGGAAGTTATTTATAAAATTGAGTATTTTTCCTTTAAGATTCCATTTATGGAGTATAGAAAGGACCCTATGTACCCATACTGTGTCATAAGCTTTTGCGATGTCTAGAGATACCATTAATAAGTGGTTTTTTTTTCGAACGCCTTGCATATGTTGGTGTGGATGATTGTCAGAGGATCTAAGGTAGATCGGTTTTTGCGGAAGCCGAATTGATGTGGGAAAGGAGATTTAGGGTTTCTAGATGCCATGTAAGTCTGGAGTTAATCATGCTTTCGAGCGTTTTACACATTGTATTTAGAAGGGGTATTGGCCTATAGTTGTTGATTTCGAAAGGGCATTTGCCGGGTTTAGGAATTGGGATTATATGTGATGTTCTCCATTGTTTTGGGAAGGTGCAATTAATCCAGATGATGTTGAATATTTTGAGTAGAATGTTTAGTGAGGATTGCGACAGGTTTTGGAGGAATGAGAATGGTATTCCGTCTGGCCCGGTGCTTTTACTAGTTTTTTTCCTCAGTGCGGTATATAGTTCAATGATTGTGAGAGGGGAGTTGATTGGGTTATCCGGTTCGTCTGCTTCGAAATTTATCGGGGAGTTAATTTCAAATGTTGTTTTTAGGGTAACGAAGTCTTTATTATAGTTTTCATTGCTGTTCTTTTGTTGGAAGAAGGTTCCAGAGATTTCTTTTTTATCAGTAATGGTTTTGTTGTTGAAATTGATTGTCTTTGTTTGGATCCGGTTATTGCCTTTCAAGCTGTTAATCTTGGATCACATGAGACTGGAGGTAGTTTTATAGTTGATGCTGGATGTAAAACTTTTCCATGATTCGGTTTTGCTAATGTTAATTGTTTTTCGTGAGATTGCTCTGCGTTTTTTGAGTTCTATGTGATCTGATTGGAGTTTGGTTTTCTTGAAACGGTTGAGTGTTTTTTTGTAGTTTTTGATCGCTGTTTCACAATTTTCATTCCACCAGGGGACTTTTTTTTTTTGAAAAAATGGTTTGCTTTTACCTATTGTGTATTCGGCGGCTTCAGTGATGATACTTGAGAAAGTTTTGACTATATTGTCTATGTCTATTGATTGATTTGGTTGGAGAAGGGTTTCAAATTGTTTGGTTGTTAATAGGTTGTCGACTTTGTTCGCGAAGGAGATCCAGTCGGGGTTTCGTAGGAGCCATTTGGAGGTTGATTTTTCTGTTGGTTGTGATTTAAAGAATCTTAATGCTATAGGCCAGTGATCATTACTATTGTAAGCCGTTTGGACAGACCAATCTATTGATCCTCCTAACGTTGCAGATGCGATTGATAAGTCGATAGCAGTGAGTCTGTTATGGGTTACATTATGTCTTGTGTAATTTCCATCGTTGAGGAGGACTATTGAGTCGTCTTCTAAAAGTTTTTCGATTGTTTTTCCTCGCCTATCAGTGTAGTTGGGTCCCCATAAAGTGTTTCTGCTATTGAAATCGCCGAGTAGAATGTAGGGACGTGGTAGTTATTTAATGAGGTTTTCGAGGTCTGAGAGATTGAGGTCAGTGCTATCCGGGGCGTATATGTTGCATACGCTGATTTTTTGATTGCTATTTGAAGTTATTTTTATAGCGATTGCTTCTAATGGGGTATTAAGGGGGATAATTTCATGTTCTGATGATATTGAGGCGAAGATGCATACCCCACCACTGGATCGAGCGTGGTTGGTGCGGTTCTTGAAGTATCCTTTGTAGTTTTTGAGGGTGGGATTATTTTTATTGTAATTTAGGTTTGTTTCTTGTAGGCAGAGGGCTGATGGTTGGAAGTCTGCAATTATTCTGTGGACGTCTGGAAGTTTCTTAAAATAACTATTTATGTTCCATTGAACTATTGTTTCTAATTGTGCTTGGATGTTGTAGGGGGAGGAATGATTGAAGTATATAATACTGTTATTTGATGTCATTTTTTTTTTTTTTTTTTTTTTTCTATGTAGCGGTTGTAGGGTTGTGTGATTGTATGACGTGATTTTATTCGTATGATCATGCTTCTGATTCATTAGAATCATAGGGTTCGGCATTTAAAATTTTTGTGAAGCGGGTAATTCTGTTTTTGATACTGTTGTCTCGCAGGCTTGGTTTGATTTTCTAAATGATATCTAATAATTCTTCTTTTGAAATATTGTATTTATTATAAATTGATGGAGGATCGAAGGGGCCTTGATTATTTTCTAAAATATGTTTAAAGGTGTCATAGTCGATTTTAAAACTATTTAGGTCGTTGAACAAATGTTGTGTAGGTTCTAGATAAGTGTCTATATTTTCTAAAAAATTTTTTAAGGAAGCGGATTTAGTTTTCTTATTCTTTTTTTTTCTAGTGTTTTAATTTGGGGGGTTTCCCAGTTTGAAGGAGCACGCATTTCGTTGTTTCTTGAGCTAGATCCATTGGAGACGAAGGAGCAGATTGAGTGTAAAACGAATCTGGCAGCGACCTTTTGGTGCCACATGGTTGATCTAGATCCATTTCTGTTATGTCTGTGTTTGGAGTTGATTCTAGATCTTGGAGCTCAATTAGGGTTGGGGTAGAAGTAGTAGCTGGTGGATTGTATTGAGGAGGGGGTTCAGAAAGAATCTTTAGAGGCTCTAGTAGGGGTGTTGCGGGTGATGATGAGGGGTGTACTTCTGTAGGTGTATTGTCTATATTTAGAGACACATCTAGTTTTGGAGTTATGTTTAGGTCGAGGATGGCATTATTTTCATTTGAAATTTTACTGTTTGAAATATTTTGATTTGTGCATTGGGATGCTATATGTCCTTGGGACTGGCAAATGAAGCAGTTTAGGGAGTCGTCGGATAAAAAAATTCTATAGTTAGTGTCTTCGTAATTGATAAGAATTGATGTAGGAATTTTAGTCAGATCTTCGTGTTTAATAAACGTTTGGCGACGAAAGCTTAAAATGTGTGTAAAATCTTTGACTTGGATGCCAGCCTTTAAAAAAGTTATTGGGCTGCAGAGAGATATATTTAGTTTGGCGAATTCGTTTGCGATAACGTCCGGAGGTATGTTGGGGTATACGTTGGACAGGATGACTCTTTTGTTTGGGTTGTATAGTTTACGTAATTTGAAATGTTGTTCTTGTATTATGATAGATGGGTGATTTTAAATTAGATTATCAACTAATGTCTTGCTCGATAGGAATATACATATACGTTCTTTAGATATGCGTGACGCAAATAGAATATTAGAAGGTTGGACTAGTTTGCCGATAGCGATTATGTAATCTTTATGTGGTAAGCTCACGTTTATATCGATTACTATAGCTTGGTCTTTTTTCGGTATTAAGCTATTAGCGACAGTAGAAGCAAAAGATTGTTTATTATTGTCCGTGTTGGATGGGGTTTCTGGGTAATTAGCGATGGTTATCTTTGTTGAGGTAGATTGTTGTTGAAGCTTGAGGTCTGATGTTGTTTTGGGTGAAATAGGTTTAGCGATGATTTTTGATGTAATGGTTGATGTGGGTTTATTTTTTAATTTTTGAACGATGTTAGTTTGTACTGTTTTGCGGATTGAAGGGCTTTTCAAAGCCGCTGGTTTTGAAGTTTGCATTTTGGTGGTTGGGCTTTGCGCCCGGTGAGTTTATTGTATATTAGCTAATAGCGTAATTAACGTGCATATTACCTGAGATACGGCGAGTGTAGATTGTATAACTTACTGCTATCGGAAGCTATTAAAACGGTACTCGTGAGACGCGATAAGGTACGTGTTGACTGTACGGTGTCTAACGACGAACTGAAATTTATACTTTATATAATATATTAGTACCTAAATATATATTTTTTATTTATTATTTTCGTTCGCCCTTGGGCTGTCTTTTTATAGTTATTTTCTATTATAATATTTGGCTAAACAAAAAGACAATTTAATTTTTGTAAATTCGCCCACCCCCCAGGGGTGACTTTTGGATCCACTAATGGCGTTTCCTAAAATTTCGTCAGCAATCCGGAAAACCGCGTCTAAATCAACGGGTGGATCTGGCTGCTCTATGACAATAAACATTAAATACCTATGTTAAATTAATAATAATAATTATACTAAACTTACACTTCAAATAAATCCTTATTGGGTCTTTCAAACTCATTGACTCACCATAATGCACTAAAAAAAAAAAAAAAAAAAATTAAAATATCAGTTCGTGGACGGTACCTACATACAGTGTGTATCAGACTCTCACCAGCCATATCCAACACATATATCCGCAGACGTTCGACACACATCTGCAAATAAATATGTTACAACCAATTTTGACTCTCCTCCAGTAAGTTTCTCATACAAAATATAGTTTTTTTTGTTTAATTTTTTACCCCTTTGTAATATATTACATGTATACCTACCTTCTACATTAATATACACATAAAATGATTTGTAACCAATAACGATTATACACTTTTGTATAAAAATTAAAAACGTAATTTCAAATTATAAAATTAATTTTTTACATAACTTAATATCAAAATTAATATACAAAACTTAAATCAATGCCAATTCAGACCACCCAGAAGTAATGCGATTACCGCAGAATCTCACAGCCAATTCAAAAGACAACACCCAAAAATAATAATCACATACTAAAATTATTTTTTTTTAAAGTTGTATGTGTTATTGTAGCAGACAACTCAAAGACAATTTATGAATTGATAAGTGCCT